AAAAGCACTTAGAGATAAATTGCAATTTATTTGAAATATCATTTTGAACACAACTTTGCAAAAACCTGCATTTTGGTCATTTTTAAAAAGATAAACGCTTTGCGAAAAACCGGGCCCTTTTGGAAAAATCCGGGCCCTTTTGATACTTCGCCCCCCCTGTAAAATCAACTTCCGGCGCCCCTGATTGAGGCGTCACGGGCAGATCAGACGACCTTCATAGGACCCATCGATCAGCTCAACTAATTCCCTACGACTATAGCAAACACATCTCTGTTTTTAAAAATTGATATCTTTATTAACCAAGGGTATGCAACGGCCGGGTGAAGGTGGCCCTCCAATGAAACCTGGAACCCATCAACCATCATTTCAGATTTTGCTGTTGTTGATGCAGCCCAAGTTTGCTAAATGTAAGTTGGAAGTTAAGTAATGCAATAAACACATTTTCACAAATTTTGCGGGCATCAGGGTGCTTCTATGAGGAACCCATTAGTACCCATCACTTATGAGAAAGCCCGTATATGTTTACTCAAACATGTTCATAATTTGTGAAAATGTAATTATTGCATTACTAAACTTCCAAATTACATTTAGGAAAACTCGGGCAGAATCAAAAACAGCTAAATCTGAAATGATGGATGATGGGTTCCAAGTTTCATTGGAGGGCCACCTTCAGTGGCTTAGGCGATGCTCGGCCCGGCCTGGCGGGCCGCCGGAGCGCGCGGGACCGCGCGCCTGGCTTCTGATTGTGATTTCTCCGAATTTTCTTGACTAACAATACAAACCAATGCACCCAGCACACACTGTAATTCAAAGGGTGATACTTTTCACACATTTTCGTGTAATAAAATGCCCGGTGTGATTCCCTTGATTTATCACTCCTAGGGGAGTGATGAATTTCGATCACAAATATTGTGTGATACTTATCGCAAAATAATGCGACAATTCTGGATTTATTACAAAACAGTGTGATGCACATACATAACTATGATACCTCGAAGTATCGCTCAAATAAGTGATTATCACAAATGTAAGCAATGAATTTAATCTTGTACTTTTTTGCGATGATCATCACAACGTCGTGCAATATATCTGTATCACAGAAAATGTGTAGTCAGTATCACACTGTGATTTACAGTGTTACCGAAGAAAATCGCATACATATTGAAAGGCCTCACTTTAACGAAGGTCCATTGTAAGCTTCGACTTGATCTGAAGTTTTGATCACTCACACGGACGATTTCTTTAACTACGCAGCGGCCCGATTTCGGCTCGCTCGCCGACCGACGCTCGGCCCACCGGCTGCTCGGCTGACTTTGTCAAGTTAATGTGGAAGAACCACTTCACGTACCGAGAAAACACGCATACCTATCGAAAGGTGTTACTTAAACGAATGTCCATTGTAAGTTTCAACTTGATCTGAAATATCAATAACTCGCACGGACGATTTCTTTAACTACGCAACTGTGCAATAACATCTCTTTTGAAAATATGAAATAATGACGACGAAGAAATAAGAGTACTGATAGGAAGAGGAGAGTTTACAAGGTGTACTGGATCCCTTGGTTTGTATTGTTAGACACGAAAAAATGGAAAACTGACAATCTGAAGCTAGCCGCGCAGGTCTCGCGCCGAGGGGTCCCCCACTCACCAACTCGTTGTACACGAGGAAAAATACTCGCAAGATACTCGCGCCAACTCGCCACAACTCGCGGAAAATTCGCGAAAACTCGCGAAAAAATCGAGAAATACTCGCCTTATACTCGCAGATATTCGCCATTACTCGCATAAACTCGCTAATACTCGCTAATACTCTCGAATTCTCGCGGACACTCACGCAACTCGTTGTACACCCAGTTGGAGAGTGGGGGACCCCTCGTCTCATACCGCTGCATTAACATATTCAGGACAGCGATATGGTGGTCCAAAAACCCCTGAAAATATACGGAGAGAGCAAAAATTCGGTAGCGAACATTCTGCACCCATGTACCCAATGGATAGTTAAAATTCACTGTATGACAACGTTGACTACGAGTTCTGATCTTTTCGTGTTTTTTAGCCCGCCCTTCTGCTTTGAAAAAGCTATCCAGCGGGCTTATGCAAACGACCTCGTGTCTGTCTGTGTGTCTGTCTGTGTGTCTGTCTGTGTGTCTGTCTGTCTGTTCCACTAGAAGGAGATGTGCTAGAGAC